ATCCACAAAACCCCTCTCAGATTATAATCATCATATACTCACTAGTGACTGGCTTCAAGAGATATTTCTTGGAGTTCTAGTGAGAAGTCTTAGCCAGTGGAGTTCAACCAGGTCTATTATGAGACAGTAAATCACTAAAGACAATAGTGGATTTGACCCTACATTTCATGGATTAGTTGAAGTTAGACATTAACACTATTAGATGCTGGCCTACTCAGTGGTTTAGAGCATAAACGTTTGTGCGCGAAACTAATAGCTTCTGGGTTCGAATCTCGCGAGGTAAGGTCATGAACGCACACTGCTGAAGAGTCTCACTTTAGGACGAAATGGCTGTCCACTACTTCCAAGCTTTCCATGATGATCTAGCTTCAATGGATTCATGAATTCATCTACTAAATTGCTAAAAAAAAATGCAATAGATTTAACTAGTTTCCTAGTGAAAATTAAAAAAAAAAGTACTAAAGTTAAATCAATAATGTAAAAGGATTATTCTTTTATCCTTAGTATTATCGATTTTACAATGACATGATCTCACTTCCTAAGTGTTATTATAATCAATATATAATCATGTGCTTGAATTATAATACTTCCCATGTACGATTCAATATTTGAAACTAAGTATATATTATGTACTGTGATTATTGTGATTACAATCTATGAACAGAAAAAAGAAAAAAAACCCTTTTCAATTATAAAATCATTGAAATGTGACATACAAAATGCATGTAATATAGGTCGTTTCCATAAAAAAATTCTTTGAATAAGGTCATTGTCATTTTCTGACACAGGGTATAAGGGAAATTAATTGATGAGATTGTGAATCTTCATCGACTAAGATGGTTAGGGCCACGTGTTACATACGCCTGAACATTGATTACCATGATGTGCGCAATGCTAGCTAGTGTTAAGGACGGTTGGAAGAAAGTTAGGAGCGGTTAAATCGGCAAAAATGTAGCATCAGTCACTAATTTCTAATCTGAGTCATGTTGGTAGATACAGACTACTTGGTTGGGTTCCGAATGACTATTGTAAACAATGGTTGTAGACTGTAAGTGACATGGCTCAGAATCGATCACAATGGCGTAGGTGCATACCTATTTTGTCTTCTCTTAAACTGTGGGAATAAAAAATCTTTACATCTGTCTTTCTTTCTGTACCGTGTCCTTATATGCCATCTTTTTTATATATTACTACTACTGAAATGACTACTTTTATGAATTTGATGTTGATCTTGCTGTGATAATGGAATGTGACAACTTGGACCGATGCATATATGTGCCTGATCCTACGTTGTAGTTGATTGACTGACATTTCGTAACGATTAAATAAAATTTTAAAGCTTTCCATAACCAATTAAAGTATATGGATCGAGAAATGGGAAGGGTAATGGAAAAAATCAATTTGGAATTTGAAATCTACATTACGTTTACTTTGAAGCCTGTTAATTAAATTTAAGGGAAAAAATGCAAAAATATTTTGTGAAATGTGTGTAAAATTTCAGTTTTTGATTAGTTTATAGGGTTTGATGAAATCAACGTATCAGTCGGGAATTGAATAGAGAGAGTGGTTATGAATGCAGTGATCTTGATTGCTGTTGAAGATATGAGGGTGACTAACACTTCCCGGTCACTCACTCCGTGGAAGAGTTATTCTAGAGGTAGCTGAAAAGAAAATTGAGTTAGAGGTGTTCTTAGTAACCTGAGAGTGTGACCGCACTGCCCAGAGCACTACAATTTCAGGCTGGTCACATACGACCTTTTTGTCTGTAATTTTCGTGTTAGCTCCGTACTTGTTAAGAACTTACCGCCGATGACGGATATCCGTGGGATAAGGCGAGGTTTATATTTTTAGGGTCAACCTTTTCTAACACCACCCGTCCTCATGGGAAGGCAGCACCGCTGTTTTACTGGTCGTCTGAAGGCAACACCTTACTGCCGTCGCACCTCCGTACAGTCAGTGGTATGACTTCGCCTTCGGATCTTGGGTTTGCTGCTTTTAGTCTTAGTTTTCTTCAACCTACCTGTCTGGTATGACAGGATCTTGAGGAACGATTTTTCCAACCAGTATAGCTCGACTGGTTCATTGCTATAGGCAAGCCCGACCACCACATCAATGTAGCAGAAACGGTCGGGAAATCAAGGTGTACCAGCATTTGTTTGATGAATATTAGTTGGATAAAGCATAAATGATCATTTGACAACATTTGTAAGTTATAAGTTGAATCATGTACACCTGAATAGCTAAAGAAGTGTTCCACACCCTGTGGAAGCTATAATCTTCATAACTAACATTAATAAATGAATTCGAATAGAAAGTTGAAAGCATTGTACTATAAACGTATTGATATGATTTTCTTGAATCCAAAAGACATTAACATATTTAGTCAATACTGTAGGCAAAATTATCAACATCATGATACAATTTGCTAATGTTATCTGGTTGAATAAAATGAACAGAAAAGTTTGCATTTAAAGGTTTCACGCTAGTTTGTGGTATTTAGTAAACTGTACCTACAATATATGCGTAAACAATGTCATCAGTCGAATTAAAACCAGTTTCAACTATTATTTCTATCATAATGACTAATAATGAGCTATTTCGACTTCGACGGATTTTGTATAGCACTGGGATATTCACATAAATTAATCATTATGTAATCAATCTCGTATTTCCTGGTCCTTATTTCAACGCAAGCTTAACATCTCAAGTTTCAATATGGTTATTGGTCTTAATAGTTTTATATTATCGTTTAGATATTATGCTACTCAGCTTAGGAACAATAATGACACTGAGTGACAAGTTTGGATCTCATGAGTAACAGATATAATTTTCTGTAAAGTTCCATTTATCATAAAATTTCGGTTCACAGTCCCTTAATAATCATATGGTTATACTCTAACAAGTCATTCAAACAAGTTACTTAATCGAGATCGATAAAATACTTTTATTTACATATTAAGAGACCGGATCATCTACCCAACTACTATTTTTTAACCTCTAATTATCTAAAATTCACTATAGAACAATTCTTTAAACATTCACATGGTATTGTTTTTACTTTAATCTTCCCATTGATGTTTAAGACTGCATTTGATCAGTCTTTCATATTGGCATATGTGCATACTGTGCTTATTACCTCAGTATTGTCTTAATTCACCATCATTATAAGCAAAGATGGTTAGTGACTAGCAGTAGAATCCAATTTGACCTACGTTTTGTCCTATTTAGGACTCGTCAGCTGAATGTAACTGCATCTCACAAGTGATGAATACCATCACATTATTCACTTAGCTACTGAGTCCTGATATAGTCACCTGCTTATACAATTGGATGATGTTTAAATTCACTTGGTATTATTTGTTTAAATCTCAAACTGTATCACTTGTAAGAAAAAATCAATTACCAATTAACACTACAAGTGTATTTATGAATAGAAAAAAAAACAAAAAAAAAGAAGTAACAACTGATCTACAAATCTAGTACTTTAATAAATAAACAAATAAAAGAAAGAAAAAAAGAAAGAAAAAAAAAGAGAAACACACTAGATTACGTAATCTTTCTTTCTTTTCTCATGAATTCTTTTTATTTTATTTTACAATAAACCACTCTCTTTACAAGTGTCATGTCTTGTTTTGTTTTGTCATGTTATCTGTGAATCACTTTTTTGGTTGTTTACTTAAATTTGATTGTAATGGAAAGATTGTATTTTTTTTTAAAAAAAAAGGGTATCCAAGTAGTTGTCAGGATGGGGATTAGAAATTACGTAATAATCATAATAAATGAGATTTGGTAGATCATAACAATGGTGATGAATTTGTTTTTTTTTTATTATTTTTAAAAAAAAACAACAAAACAAAACAATGTAATTGGTATGTAAAGTAGACGATAAGACCAATTGTGTGCGTGTGTGTGTGTGTTTCTTTTATTGATTGATGGATACAAGGGGTTCGAACAAACGGTAAAAAAAAAGAAAGAAAAAAGAAATAAAAGAAGGAAAAAATAAAGAAAAGATTACCAATATGAGATGAAATCAATTGTTATCTGAAATTAGAAAGTACATGTTTTGTTTTGAATGATACACATACAAAAAAGAAAAAACAACAAAAGAAATACGAATTCAAATTAAATTTTAGTTGAAAAATTCAAAATAAAAATACAATTCTGTCTGTTATCGAATGTTACTTTTACAGGCACACATTTATCTATCTATCTGTCTATCTATATATGTATCTATGTATCTATGTATCTACCTATTGTTGATGTTTGTTGTTAGGATATTGTCTAAATATACTAAAAAACAAACAAACAAACAAACAAAACGAACCTGTAGTCAACCTGAAATGATGTGTATATTTATTTAATTCTGTTTTTTTGATGAATACAATAATACAATAGAACAAATAGATTGTTATGCATACACATATTATAATTTATTTCATCTGAATACAATTCAATTAAACTATGTGCATAGTAATAGCAGAAGAAAAAGTAGAAATAAATAAATAAATAAATAAATAACCGAAATGTCACTCAGTTACAAGTTGAAAAATCTATATATTGAAGATGGAAACACATATATTATATAATGAAAGATATGTACGTTTCTTGTATACACATGTATATTGACAGAAGATGGATAGGTCTATTAAATGATTTTAATAAAGTGTTTTTTTTTCTTTTTTTCTTTTTTTTTTGTTTTGTTCTTTATACTGGATCGTTTACTTGTGAAGCTTTTTATTCTTCTCTTTTGAATGATATCATCAGTACAGTATTTATATATGTTATCATAACTCTTCCTGTAGTTCTCAATATGTTAATGATATCATTCAGAAGAGAACAATGAATGCTTCACAATGAAATGCATCCAGTTCAATGAACAAAACTCCATCAAAATACACACACACACATATATATATATCGATATGTGTAGTTTCTTTTCTTTTCTTTTTTCTTGTTTTTGTTGTTTTTCTTTTTTGTTTTTGTTTTTCTTTTTTATTCATTTAAATTAAATTTTGTTCATTTTTTTTTATTGTAAAATGTTTTCTAAAAAATTTCATTACATTATTTGCTGGTGTTTTTAATACTGTTATAGAATTTTTATGTTTTGGTGAATGATTTGATCCTTTTCTTTGTAAAATTACCATACGATCAAGTCGTTCACGTTCTTTTTGTACATTTTTTTGTTGTTCTTTAATAGAGATTAATATACCAACTAATAAATCATCAACACGATGATTAATTGATGTTGATATTTCATAATAATTACATGAATAAATTTGTGCTAAATTCTTTCCATCTATTTAATTAAAAGAAACATATTTATGAATTATATAAGAACATTCATAAAGGAATATAGAATTATATTTTAATGAATAGTTATTATCAGTATTGAGATTGTGAAGGTGATTAAGTTTTCGATCGAGATCATGAATCAACTGATGTTAGACCACTGTTGGAAACCTGGAAGCATTGGATGGCCATTTCGTCCTAGTATAGGATTCCTCAACAGTGCGCATCCACGATCCCGCTTGCGGGATTGGTTGATGTTAGACAATAACACCATTGGATGCCGGCTCAGTGATCCAGTAGGTTAAGCATTCGCGCACGAGACTGAAGGTCCTGGGTTCGAATCCCGCGAGTGGGATCGTGGATGTACACTGCTGAGGAGTCCCATACTAGGACGAAACGGCCGTCCAGTGCTTCCAGGTTTCCAACAGTGGTCTAACATCAGTCGATTCATGATCTCAATCGAGAATAGTTATTATATTGTACTATGTAATACTGATTACTATGATATGCAATGCTAACTGGTGTCGGGAATGGTTAGAAGAAAGTTAGGTGTGGCCGGAATTGGCTAACATATGGAATCAATGCTTGAAGTCACTAACTTCTGATACGAGACATGTTGGTAGATGCAGACTACTTGGTTTTAGTCCACGTGACTATCGTAACCAATGGTTGGAGACTGTGGGTGATAATGGTATAGGTGTATACACTCACTGTCTTCCCTTAAACTAAAAGAATAAAATCATTTTATATCTTTCTTTCTACGTACTAAATCTTTCTTCCTGTACTATATCCTTATATGCAATCCTTATTTTATATATTACCACCATTGAATTAGCTATTCCTATGATTTCGATGTTCACTTTGTTGTGCTAATGTGGTATGGCAACTTGGACAGATACATATATGTGCCTGCTTTTACGCTGTAGCTGACTGACATTGTATTATGATACTATTCAGTAGTATGTTGTTGATCAAAGTATTATGCAAAAATTAAGAAACCATGATTTATCATGTAGTGTGTCTAATTCAGAGAAGTATTCGTAGCTCTTGGAGATTTTAAACGACTCTTAAACTGATATCGACTTAGTAAATCATACGAAATATTGCAATATATAACATAATATCGTTGATAAAACCCGATTTTATTGATTATACTTCGGATACATTGGTCAGACACTATCAGAAACGATGTACTGTGGGAGCGAACAAATTAGATCCAATCGGAGGAAGAAATCAGGAAGAGGTGTTGGAAGTGGATAGGACACACATTGAGGAAAGTACCCAACTGTCACGAGGCAAGAACTCACTGGAAATCCTCAAGGCCAAAAGAAAAGAGAAGGACCAAAAAACACAATACGCCGAGAAATGGAGACAGACATGAGAAGAATGAACAAAAATTGGATAGAATTAGAAAGGAAGGCCCAGAACAGAGTGAGTTGAAGAATGCTGGTCGGTGGCCTATGCTCCATTGGGAGCAACAGGAGTAAATATATAAGTAAGTTATTGATTATCCAACTTTTCTTGATAGAAAATAATTGTGATAATATGATGATCTTGGTTGTTTATTCAATGAATTTGCTTGAAATATAACTAGTTACACAATTCAATTATACTTTGTGTAATTTAAGGTAAATAACTATAAATTCCATTATTTCCTTATTAAACATGCATATTATATTGACATCTTTAATAATATAGCAATACTCCTACGGTTAATTTCGATTATGGCTAACTTTTGTTGAACCCTTTTATTAACTTATTCAACAGATCATGTTATTTGGATAGTAACAATTTGTCTATTTCTTTATATTATTATGATCCGTATAAACGTGTACACCTGATCACATGTGACAGCCTACGCATATATTCCTCATCCTACTTCAAATACTAAAAGATTAAATAACGCTCAATGAATCATTCTCTTACCCCATATATATATACATATATGATGGAGTTTTGTTCTCTGAACTGGATGGTTTGATCATGGAGTTTTCATCGTTCTTCTGAACGACATCATCAGCACAAACTTCAGATAGAACCAATCAACATTGAGGTGTACAGAACAAGCTGTGAAACGCATATGGAGAAATTCGAACACTTCACTTCTATCTGAAGTTTGTATTGATGATGTCGTTCAGAAGAACGATGAAAGCTCCACGATCAAACCATCCAGTTCAGAGAACAAAACTCCATCAATACGTTTTTTTATAACCTAATAAGTATACTCCGACATTACAAATCCATTATTTTATTATTATTATTATTATTATAAACAGTTCACACTATGCTTAATTTATTTGAAATTAAAACTAACATTAATCTTATCAATGTCATGCATGTCAAGTTCTTCTTAGTGTAAATCGAAGCCTATAGACTAAGTTGCAATGTGGCCACAAGTCTAGGTGAATCGATATTGTGTGCACTATGTTGAAGTAAGATAGTAATTGGAGACATTTAATAGGAAACCCTGGACCTAAGTTTCATGCTACTTGATACTCATCAGCAAGGTGTACCTATAATCTTAAGGGAACTGATGCTCCCTGACGGTTCCGATTCCATGTCATTCATCTTCACAGTCAGAGACTTTACCACAGCCCAGATAGCTCAGTAGTAAATATAATGTCTATCTTCAACTAATTCATGAAATTGAACAACACATCTACCATTGTCTTCAATGAGTTACTATCTCACAATAGATCTGGTTAAACTTCCCTGGTCACGACTTCTTACTAGAACTCCAAGAAATATCCCTTAGAAATCGTCACTAGTGAGCATATGATGAATGACGTAAAAAAAAAAATAACACAAAAGAACTTATGAATAATCTAGAATCTTAGAAAAAATTTTCAGGGAGGGTGGGATGATGAGAGAATGGAAGACAAAGAATAGATGTATCAGTATTATTACAAACACTATCAAACCATATCTTACAAGTCAGTGATTATGGCATATACATATATATATACTAATTTCATGTCTATCACATGATTAACACAATGAACTATTGATAGAACTATAGAAAAATGAAAAGATAAATGGGAGGAATATCTATCTATGTTGTCAATAATTTGATTAAATACATAAATAAATAATGAACTATGTTTTTGTTTTGTTTTGTTTTTTCTCGTTGTTGTTTTTTTCTTCTCTTTAAAAACAAAAAAAAAAAACAATCACAACAACAGCAACAACAATCAGATAAAGAAAACTAAAGAGAAAAGTAACTGATGAATAATTCATTGACATAATAAAAATAATTAATTCAATTAGTTGAGTTTATTTATGTATATGTAAGTCTTTCTTTCATTCTTTTTTATTGATGTACATAGATATAATACACATAAGTGTTTTGATGGTTATTAGTAATGAATCTATGCAATTCTCTTTTTATTATGCCATTTTTATTTTGTTATTATTCATAAGAAGAGAGTGAAAATTATTAGAATGATATTTCATGGATTGGATATTAGCCGGGTTAAACGTTCGCGCGCAAGACGGACAGCTGCTGGGTTCGAATCTCGCAGGTTAGGATTGTGGATGCAAACTGATGAGGAGTTCCACAATAGGACGAAATGGCCGTCTAGTGCTTTAAGGTTATCCATGATAATCTAACTTCAATTGACACATGAATTCAACTATTAAAATTAGTTTGATTGATTGATTCAAGTGCTCAAATTCATTTCAATTATTGATAAATTGAACTCAATTTTTTTGAATGAGATCATGAACTGATAGATGTAAGGTCACCATTAAAAACCTAAAAATACTGAATGGCTGTTTCGTCCATAGTGTAAGATTCCACGATCCCGGAGCCTTCAGTCTCGTAGGCGAACGCTGAACCTTTAGATCAATTTGACTTCTATTGAAGAAACTTTTGTAAACCGACGTAGAAGTTAATCAAGTTTTCAATAGTTTCTTTGTTCCAGTATGAGATAATTTTTGATGATGATGATGATGATGATGATGATGATGTATGACATCTCTTTGAGAGTAAAATTATAAATTTTAGAACTTTTAAATAGTATATTATTCAAAGACTATCAAGTTGATGTTTATTCGAAAGATGTTTCAAATTTAGCAGTTTAAATACATTAAAATCCTCCAAGAACTATTTATGAGGATAATTTTGTTTCGAATCTTATGTTTCACTTCGATTCATATTAGCAATGCAAACAGAATGACAACTGAAAATAAAATCGATTTCCTAAAGATCTAGTCAAAACAATCAATCTATGGAAGTATGCCATATATCGATCGATAGAATTAAATAATAATCACTGGATATAGATGTTATCGATACATGAATCGTTCTAACATTATTGTCTTTGTCAAGCAATATGAAGTCCTCATATGCTAATCATATAAACTGTTGTCATTTGTTGTCTTTCAAGATAAGCAGAGAATAGAAACAAAACGCCAAATGGAGGTAATTTGCATAGGATTAACATATACCAACAAAGATTAGTCGAAGTTTAGCTAACAATATCAACACGGGTGTAGTGTGAACACTTTCAAAACATGATATAATCATTAAACCTGTAGAAAAAGCTAGCGGCAATCTGGACTCAATGACTCAGTGAATAACTTATTGGTGCCCAAAATGATAGATACTAAATTTGAGTCCCAGTATAAGAATGCTAATACATTCAACTATTCAATCAGAAATAAGGTGAAATCTGTATTCTTGATTTCACTTCTGATCACAATCCATCTATTCTCTAAAAACATCAGATTTATATCGAATATATAAAATACTTCAACAAAAAACTATTAATTAACATTATATCGATATAATGAAAGCTTTACGAAAAGAGAAAACAAGTTATCAATATGGGGGTTTGTGGAGATTGTAGTATTTTCACAGTTAATTTCGCAAATCAATCTAAGCTGGACTATCATTGAAAACCTGGAAGCACTGAATGGCCGTTTCTCCCCAATGTGGAACTCCTCAGATGTACGCATTCAATCCATGTCGGGTGTGCAATAGATATCCACTTCAGACAATAGACAGATTGTTGTATGTGATAATGAATTGATTGAAGTTAAACATTAACACCATTAGGTGCCGGTTCAGTGGTATACAGGTTAAGATCTAGAGTTCTGAGTTCGAGTCTCGTGCGCTGGATAATGGGCACGCAACACTCAAGAGTCCTATTCTAGGATGAAACTGTTTTCCAGTGCTTCTATGTTCTCAATAATGTTTTATCTTAGATTGACTGATGAGTTCAACTGTAAGAAAACAAATTTTAAATAATTTAACTTACCTTCACTAGATACTACTCTTGTTCTCACTAAATCAGATTTATTAGCTACCAGTATTATAGCACTGGAACGTTTACATTGACTTAATAACAAACCGATTATTTTTCTTGCTGTATAAAATGAACCACGATCATCAACTGCATATATAACAAGATAAGCATCGGCTGTATCAACAATCTATTCAGTTGAAAAAATAAATAGAAAGAAACATTTGATACAATCATTAGAATGAAGCAAAATGTTAATTAGTGTATTATAAGCTAAAGTAATAACTCATAGGTATGATAAAGTATGACTGGAAATGTTTATATATCCCGAGATTATATACATACTCTAAGTAAATTTCACTTTAAAACAGAGTTATATAACGGTTAACAGTGGAATATAGGATACATGTTTTGTCCTATTTAAGAATTGGTGAGTTTTAACTGTATACAGTTGACAAGTCACAAATAGAATTAAACGTACATTATGCATTCGATTGATAAAAATTATCTTTCTTTATATAAAATGTTTGTAACCCTGGTGGGAATGTCGAAGCAATCTACAAAATAATTATATAATTAGTATTAGAAGAGGTTTTGTGGAGATTGTAGTAATTTCAATAGTTGAGATCATGAGTTAATTGAAGCTAGATCATCATGGAAAATCTGAAAGCACTAGATGATCGTTTCGTCCTATTATAGGACTCCTCAGTAGTGCACATCCACGACCCCACCTCGCGGGTTGCGAACTATTTTAACTTCCAAGTATAAGTAACGAAATTAATGTTTTGTATCGTTGTTAGGAAGAATAATTACAAAATTCAATTAAAAGTAATCTGATATAACATTCAATTATCTTGGCGAGGCTATAATTTATGAATGAACCAATCAGATTTAGAATAACAGATCTTGGATTTTGACTCGAAATTCACTCACCCATTTGACTAAATAGTGTCTTGGCATGTTAGCTGATCTCCGTTCATGATGAAAACCTTAAGTTTGATTCCTAACCCTTACCATCAACTGTAAATCATAATCCTTATTCTATTAACTACTTTATAACCTATATTTAATTAGTTCTAGTAAATAGGTAAACACTATATGAAAGTAAGTTTTGGCGTCGTTTAAAAATCATCCATAAATTATAATCTCACCAAACAAACAAACAAAAAAATTTTTTTATTGTTGTTGATTATAATCAATTAAATAAGAACAGGTAACCAATTAGTGATTTCATATTCAGATCTGTAATTTTGATAAAAATCTGATCATTTCATCTTATCAGTTACCATCTGGATGGTAATCTATAGATAATGTATATATATTAAAAAAACATTACAATGTATAAAACAATAAATGAAATAGTAGGTTTGTAAAAATGATTAATCACTAAGGAATAGAGGGGGGGGGCATATTCAACATTTACAACTTTTCATCAATATCTGTTAATAATTCAATAAGGAGTCTAAAAAAAACTGACATTTAGTCCTTGTAGCAATCATGTTTGAATTATTATTTTATTGATTAGCGTTTTTTTCCTGGCGAGTTAGTTTTCCACAGGGATGGCGTCGTTAACGTCATGCCCAGTGCTCCTCCTTTACTCGGGCTTTGGACTGGCAGTAACTGTAGAAGAGCTACAGGCGGAGTCGCTGCATTAGTAGACCTCAAAATACACAAAGGGAAAACCAAAGTCCTCAAATACAACACGGGGAACAGCAATCTAATCATACTTGATGGCGAAACTCTGGAAGATGTAGAATCCTTCATATACCTGGGAAGTATCATCGATGAACAAGGAAGATCAGATTCAGATGTAAAGGCAAGAATTGGTAAATCAAGGTTAGCATTCCTACAATTGAAGAACATATGGAACTCAAAACAACTTTCAACCAATATCAATGTCACAATCTTCAATACGAAAGACAAGACAGTTAGTTTCACTGTACGGAGTTGAAACTTGGAGAACTAATACAACTATCATCAACAAGGTGCAAGTATTTATGAATAGTTGTCTATGCAAGATACTCAACATCCATTAGCCGGATACCATCAGAAAAAGCATTCTAAGGGGAGAACAAACAAGCTCCCAGTTAAAGAGGAAATTAAGAAAAGACGATGGAAATGGATAGGACATACATTACGTAAATCATCAAACTGCATCACGAGGCAAGCCCTAACTCGGAATCCTGAAGAGGAGCAGAAAAGAGGAAGGTCAAAGAACAAATTATGTCGGAAAATAGAAGGAGATATAAAAGGGATGAATAAGAACTGGAAAGAGCTGGAAAGGATTGCTTGGGACAGTGTTGGATGGAGAATGCTAGTGAGCAGCCTATGCTCCTTCACAAGGAGTAACAGGCGTAAGTCAGTAAGTAAGCATTCATGTTACATTAGATCTATCAAGTTGAAATAGAATGGGATAAATCGTTAATCGTTTGTTTTATATCCAATATAGTTGAACAACAATTTTCATGGCTTCATATTGTAGTGAACGAGAATAAACAAGTGGGGACTAATCGGATATATTTGAATACATAATTACGGAATCTTTTAGTAAAATCTGTGAACTATACAATAAAATCGTCATTTGAAAAATGTAAATCAATCATCTCAAATTTCATTGTTCCTGTATTTCCACAACAATCATTCTCTGTTCTTGTTCTCTTATCTTCGATCTTCTTAACCTTCTGCCTCCAGACATTTCACTTTCGATTGATGATTCATACTACTCATATCTGTCGACATGAGTAATACACATCGTAATACTAGTAGGAAATAATTCAACGTTCTTTATTTCAACTCATAATAGAATTGTAGATGCATACTTTTGACGAGTCCTAGCAAAGTTTGTGTCAGATTCTCATTACAATATAATTTTCATTCATTATCTTAAGTCATTTCATGTTATGAACAATGAATCTAATAAACTCTACAGAAACATTTCTAATAGTAAATGTAATTTTTGTTATATCCCAAGTGAATAGGGAAAAAATGGCATTTCAGACGTTTCGTGACTTAATATAAGCCACTTCTTTAGAGTATATACAATCTATCAAAAGGTTGATCAAAACAAAATGAATATTTTATTCAGCTGTTCAAACTCATGTATACATGTAACAAATTTTCAAGTTAACTTTTCACAACAATAAAAAGAAAAACAAAGAACTTTTTAATCAAAGATGCATAGTGATTAGTAATGGAATCCAGGAAGCGCGTCTCATCATATTTGGTACTCGTCAGCTGAATGTACTTGTACCAAAGAGTTGATGTTCACTCCGCGACTCGAACCCAATACCGTTCACTTCAAACACCATCATGTTATCCATTTAGTTACTGAGTCCTGATAACCACTTATTTGTGTAATGGGGTGGAGTTTGAATTCACGCACTAAACGCGCGTCCTGGATTCTACTGCTTAAAAAGCTTATGACTTCCGACAATATCGTGGCAGTCCTCACATATGCCAACAAGAGACTGATCAATTACAGTCCTAAATAACAATGGGAAGATACAAGTAATATCAGAAGGGGTTTTGTGGATATTATAGTAATTTTTAATGCTTGATATCATGAGTCAGTTGAAGCTAAATCACCATGAAAAACCCGGAAACACTGGAAAGCCTCTTCGTTCTATTGTGAGACTCCTCAGCAGTACGCATCCACGATCCTTCCTCGCGAGACTCAAACCCAGTATCTATCAGTCTTGCGTGCAAGCGCTTAACCACTATACCACTAAGCCTGCCGGTATCCAACGGTGTTAATGTCCAACTTCAGCTAATCCACGAAATTAATCGAGCCACAAGTAAATCAACACCAAGTGAATTTAAAACCAATAAACTATACAAAATAATAATTCGTACTATTTTGTGAATGTTTTAATCAGTTTAACTTTTCTTAAATTAAAAAAAAAGAATAGACAAAGATTTATACTACTTAACTTCTTTTTTTCCAGTTTAATTTACTAATATTCTTGTCTCTTTTTCGTAACCATAACACTATAGTAACTATGTCACAACATTGTTATCATGAATGGATCAGCTTGTTTTTATTGAATACATATTTTCTAGGGAACTAAATTATTGCCTGTTTGACATAGCCTTGTAATAATTACCTGAATGGGTGGTAAAACTACCTACCTACCTACCTACCTACCTACCTACCTACCTACCTACATACATACATACATACATACATACATACATACATACATACATACATACATACATACATAAACATGTATATCAAAAGAGAAAAAATCAGTAGCTTCGACTACGGAACAATGACAAGATTTGTTGAGATTATTTATGGATAGGTAAAGAAAGAAGAAAACATAAACTGTTCAGCTGATAATATTGACGGAGAATTCAATATAGTGATGCATTTATTTTGTTTTAAAATACTAAATAAACATGTAATAATTATCAATACACGGTTGTGGAGATTGTCGAGTTAGACTTGGAATCATTGGATAGCTGTCTAATCATAGAATGAAACTCTTCAATAGTGGGCATCCACGATCCAATACATAGGACTCGAATGCAGGATTTTTGATCTCGCATGTGAATACTTGGAATCTAGACGACTAAGCCGGGATCCAGCGGTGTTAATGTCTAAATTCATTCATAATTAAAGACTATTCTACAATGTAGAGTTGCCATTTTGAAAGTTTTCATATCAATAAATAATGTATATTTCGATGAAGGGAAAATACAAAGCGCGTTAGTTTTATGAAACAAATATTTCAAACATTTAAACATAGTTTGTATTACGAACGGAAGTTTTTCGGATAATCAGTGGAAAGTTATGATCGTACTGGAAATAAGAAAAAGATCTTTTACTTCATGTTGTGAATGGATTTCTTCGAAACCACTATGTTGAAATCCAATAGTTTTTATCTCAAACTAAAATTTATTTGCAATGTAACATGATACTTATATATTACTGTAGATATTTGTCACAATCTGGCGCTTAAACCTAATCTTTAGATGGTGGTTGGAGGTAGTCGACAGAAAACCCTGGACCCAGGTTTCGTTTTACTTAGCACTCGTCAACAAGGTGTACCTGTGATCTTGAGGGAACCGGTGCTCCTTGACGGATTCGACTCCGTGTCACTCAGCACCACAGCCAGAGACATTACCACTGTGCTATCCGGGCAGTAACTGGTGACTACATTGCAACTTGGTCGATAGCATTCGACCTGCACTAATAAGGACTTGACACATATGACACTGATCACCACCCAGTGATCAATCAATTGTGAAACCTAATCTTTCTCAAAGCTTATTACTTATGAGTTAATTATTATTGTTAGAGTAGGATTTTTCCATGATATAATGAATGAATTGTCCGATCCTCCATGGTTTTCAGTTGTTGAATAATAAGAACGGTGTAATACTAATTATCAAAATGGGATCTAATGTATAGTGTTTAACATATTCTTAGTATTGCACAACCCGATCGTAACTAAATAACAAAGGAGATTCTATTATGTAAGGAATTTTTAGATTCAATCTATTTTTGTATTGCTTGTTTGAATCTTCCTATTGATGTTAAGAACTGCAATTGATCAGTCACTTATTGGCATATACGCATCCTGTTTGGATTACCTCGATATTGTTTTAAGTCACAAACATTATAAATAGAGATGGATGGTAGATAACAGTGAAATGCAAAATACTCATCTCATCTGATTTGGAACTGATCAGCTAGATATACCCATATCTAAGAGTTAAATTTCACTGTGGGACTCGAACTCAGCAGGCATATCCAAATGACGAGTCCTGAATAGGATGAAACGTGCAGTCTATATTCCACTGTTAGCCACTATCCATTTCTACTTATAATTTATAGATCATTCAACATCACTAAAACATAAACATAACTTCTAATAATGTAATATTCAACAAATTTTCATATGTAACTATTTATACTACTAACTGTATCTTTCAAGAGAAAAAAACATTATTATTTTACAAATGATGATTATCGGAAAGATTATAATTTATGGACGAACCAATCAGGTATAACATAACGGGTCTTGGATTTTGGCGCGAATTTCACTCATCCATTTGACCAAATAGCGTTTTGGCATTATATTATTATTATTATTATTATTATTATTATTATTAGTGGCTTTATTCAATATTATATATTTTTGGTACAATATGGAATTCTCAAAACAAAGTATTTCAACAAGTTTCCTTTTCTTATTTCTTGATCTGTTCCTTGCGATAAATAATGAGTGGTGGCCAGTTAGATGTTACCAGTTCAAGAATCGACATCTGATAAATGTATATCCTTTTCGATACATATTGCCAGTAACCATGATGTCTCTGATTAAGCCCTTTTTGTAACATGTACAGCGAAATGTTGTAAACTTTTCACAAACGCAGCTGAATAGGTTATGAGACTAATAGGCATAATGATGTGTTAAAACAAACAATAAAAACAGATAACTTGTTGAAATATCCAGATGGCAGGAACAGCTAGCTCAGATATTCAAACAGGCCGCCTGGCTAATGTTTGTTCATAATGTAAATCTTAACTTTGATTCCGAACTTTAACCATCAAGTGTAAATCATAATCTTAATTCCTCACATTGGTTTATAACCTTAATTTGATCCTAGTTATTTATCAATACTTTCAAGGTCATTTTAACGTCTCTCAAAGGCCGTTCATAAATTATAATCCTACTGTATTTTGTTTTTCAAAAAAAAAAAAAAATGAAACTGTAAAATAGAAAACAGCATACTTTATCTAAATGACATTTATCCCATCTGTTCAAAAATTCAAATTTTGGCGTAGGTTTTAAATAATGCAAAAATACAAAAATTTTTTTCTTCAATACATTGGAATTTCGAATCATTATCTATCTCTATTTTTTTTTCTCAAGTAAAATTATCATATTGTTTTATATTTAATGTTCATTTCATTTTAACACATAAGTATAGGTACAGGGAGGCACCAAATACATATGCGCCACACAGATCTCATTTGATTTGTGTGAGGGCTGTGATACTACCCGGGTGCCCAAACCGAACCAGGTGGTTTTCTTAAGGGGCCACACCCCGAGCCTTCGACCTGAACGTCTGATCCACAAGGCAGTGGAGCATCGTAAGGAGATGCAGTCCGATGGTAGTCGGTGACCAAAGATTGGTTCATACGCCATTTGTTCCTTCAGGATACTGGAGCCAGCCCATGTACACCATTGGTTTGGGATCCGGTTAGAGCCGGTGCCGGATATTCGCTTTTCGTCCTCTCACTTTCGTAAACAACAATAATGCCACGAGAAGGCAGTGAGTAGGACTTCCCTGTCAGAGGCTATATACGCATGGCCATGTGAGAGCATTTCGAGAGGGAGAGCGGACTCTCCTGACTCTCGGCCGTACCAGGGCATTTGGGGCTAGTCAATAGGAAACTATAAGCATAAGTTTCGTGCTATTTAGCACTTGTTAGCAAGGTGTACGAGTAATCTTGACAGAACTAATGTTTCCTGACAGATTTGATCATGTGTCATCCAGCTTCACAGTCAGAGACGTTACCATTGATCTATCGGGACCGCAACTGACCCTCTATAGGACAGAGATATATTTAAAAGTGATTGATGACTGGGTGATGATCAATAGCATATATGTCAGATCCTTTTGTCAAAAGAGTATTTTATTTATGAATCTGTGACATTAAGACTAGAGTCTTTGTTTTCTTGTTGTTACAATGTCTAGAATATTAAACAAGTTGTTGGCAAACATTTAGTTCTCATCATAAGTCAGTATATCAACCAGATTAAAACTAAATATTAGTAGTTAACTGAAATTAAATGGTTATTTTATTCTTAACGGTGTTTTCTGGACATTATAATGATTTCACAGTTGAATTCATGAATCAATTGAAGCTAGACCACCATAGAATACATGGAAGTAATGGACTACCGTTTCGTCCTAGTATGGGACTCCTCAGCAGTGCGTATCCACGATTAGTTGAAGTTAGACACTAACACCGCTGAATGCCGGATCAGTAGTCTAGAGATTAAGCTTTCGTGCGCAAGACCGATAGGTCCTAAGTTCGAATTCCGCGTGCGGGATCGTTTATGAAAACAATTGACAATTACTTTCATGTAATAACATATCAAACTGTAATTTGTTGACAAACAAAGTGTAAACTAATCACTGAGTAAGACTGTATCCTTAAAATGGTTCAGACATAGTTGTTTATTTGTGATTCTTGGAATTCGCCAATAAAACAATGTTTGGACATTTATGGTGATCAAATTTTAGTTTTTAGATGAAAGATCGAAAACAAATTGCAATAAAATGTAAACATTCAGTTTGATGATCTTTTAGAAACAACTATGTACATCAGCTCATCAGTTTGTAGTTTTGATTGGTAATATGTGTTGTGTTCTAAGAAGGAATTGGAATTAATCTAATAGAGTATTATGGAATGGTTGATTTCTTGTTTACGTTTTGAAGTGTACAAACACAAGCCTGTGGAAGTTCAAGGATACAGGCATATCCAAATGATGAGTGCCAAATTGAACGAAATGCACAAAACTGCATTCCACTGCTAGCTATCATCCATCTCTGATTATAATACTAATGACTTAAAGAAATATCGAGGCGATCCGAACAGGATGTACATATACCAATCACAGACTAATCAATTAAGGTCCTCAATGCCAATGGGAAGATTCAGACAACCAATACATGTTCCATTACCTTTATAAGTTATTTCAATGGTTAAGATCATGAGTCATTTGAAGCTAGACACCATGGAAAACCTGGAAGCACTGGACGGCCGTTTCGTCCTATTGTGGGACTCATCATCAGTGCGCATCCATGACTTCTCCCCCTGCGAGATTCGAACCCAAAACCTACTAGTTTCTCGAGTGAGCACTTAACCACTGGACCACTGAGCTGGTCAGCATCAAACGGTGTTAATGTTTAACTTCAATTAATCCACGAAATTGAGCGACAAATCCACCATTGTTTTCAGTGAGTTACTATCTCACAACAGACCTGGTTGAACTCCACTGGTCACTACTGGTCACTAGAACTCCAGGATATACCTCTTGAAGCCAGTCACTAATGAGCATATATTGATTAATATCATCATCATCATCATCCACATGAATAAATATTGACATAATTTTACAACAGGCTAGAATATCATTTCATATCATTACGTAAATCTATTCTACTAAACATTGATATGTATGTATATAACAAAAGTTTAGGTCTTTGTCTTTATGTTACTTGTATAAGAAGATTCAATTCAATTCAAGTAATCAATTACTAGGTAAAAATGATACTTTCAACTGTAGTCTAGACCACTGATAGAAGTTAGTTTCTTTGTTTTTTCAGTTGGAATATTGCATACTTAAAATCAATAAGACATAACAGTTGACATGAATGTTTCCGGTTACATTATATATATATATATATATATATATATATATATATATATATATATATATATATATATATATATATACAGAAAACTTTTGTAAGAAGTTATTTAAGAGGAAGTATTGTAAATCAGTAGATAAAAGTAGTATGAATGTATACATATATGTATAATGATAAGAAACTATTTTCACCTACCACAGAGTTAAGTTCATCATCTGTATCTTCCACATTTATATCTGTTTCCATAAATACAAGACTTGCTTTCAAGTTGTTAATTTCAACTCTTACCGGATTTAATTGTTCATCACCATGAACTATATTAAAGAGAAAAAAAAAAGAATAAAGTCAAGTTAATTAGGCAGATTAGTTGATATGTAACCACTTTAAAAAAGAAATAAAAACCGCTAAACAGTTAGGAATGCTTTTTGATTGAGACCGTGAACCGATTGATGTTAGACCACCATTGAAAACTTGGAAACACAGGACGGCAGTTTCATTTTATTGCAGGACTCCTCAGCAGTGAGCATACACGGTCCCGCTCGCAGGATTCGAACCCAGAGCCTTCAGTCTCGCGCGCACTGCTGAGGAGTCCCACAATAAAACGAAACGGTCGTCCATTGCTTCCAGGTTTTCAATGGTGGTCTAACATCAATCAGTTCACGATCTCAATCAAAAATCTTAATAATCTCCACAACCCCTAAATTGATAATTACAATCTGTTCACTAGTGACTAGCTTCTTGAGGGAATTCTCGGAGTTCTGGTGAGAAGTTGTGACCAGTGGAGCTAATCCGTGTTGGGTAGAGACAGGTATCTACCTCATTGCAATGGAAGATAATCTAGCAATTTCGTGGATTAGTCGAGGTTAGACGTTAATACCGTTGGATGTCGGCCGGCTCCGTGGTCTAGAGCTTAAGCGTTTGCGCGCGAGACTGAAGGCCTTGGGTTCAAATCACGCTTCACTTCACTTCTACCTGAAGTTTGTGCTGATGATGTCGTTCAGAAGAACGATGAAAGCTCCACGACCAAACCATTCAGCTTAGAGAATAAAACTCAATCAAAAACATTTGATTAGTCCCCACTTGTGTTCTCGTTCATTACATTATACCTTCCTTCAACAATAGTTACATGCTAAGAAACTATGCATTTTCTCAACTTTTAGATACAAAGATTTGATTAACCAATGCACAAATTATATATCAACTTTTCTAATATTTAGTCAACTTTCACATATTCATTACGTCTTAAAGTTGTCTAGAAAACTTCATTTACATTGACGGTTTTTCTTTCTTTCTCTCTGTTCAATTCAGGTTGTTTAATTATCTTTACATTTTTTTTTGTTTGTTTGTTTGTTATTTCTCATGTTAATTATGTACTGCCTCATAGAATTTAATTCTTGTTTTCTTGTCCGAACCAATATAACACATCTACACACATGTACACACATACATACATACATACATAATCATACACATACCCACATACGTACATAAATAAAATGAGGATTTAGAAAATTTTTCTCTCCACCCCCAATTTTTGTTATCATCAAATGAAACCACATATGGAAGAGAAATATGATAATTTTCATCAAAAAAAAAAGAAAAAAAAGTGTATTATTTGTTTTAAATTATATTCTGATTAATGATGAGATCAAATTGAGATCAACTTATTTTTAATGACATGGAAAAATAAAAAAAAGAAAAAAAAGAAAAATGAAAAAAAGAAAAATATTTCGAAAGAGAAAACACATTTTTGTTTGCATTACGTTTTCTGACCAATTATGTTAGATATTTTTTGTTGTTTACTCAAATAAAGATAACGTAGAATTATGATGAGAAAATTGTTAACTATGATTAAAATTTAAAAAAAAATCACCTTAATTATGGACAATTAAATTGTGGACCAATGTGTGTGTGTAGGTGTAGGTATGGGTAGGTGTGTGTGTGTGTATGTGAGAGAGATTGTCTGGAAGAAAAGGGAACAGAATATCATTTATTTATTTATTGTAGTTTTATAGATCTTGGTTTATGATTTTATTTTTATTAAAAGTTTTGTGTTTTTTTTGTTGGTCACATTTTATTTCCTCATTTCATTGTCTACTTATTATTGCCTTTTCTTTTTATGTTTTGTATCAAGTAGAGAGTATAGCAACTTATGTATATTTAAGTTTATTCATATCTAATTTGGTTAAGACCTTTTATTAACTTATTTAACAGACAGAGTTATTTGTATTACAACAACTTATCTATACCATTATACTCTTATTATTTTCAGTAGTTAAGATCATGAGTCAATTAAAGCTAGATCAACATGGAAAACCTGGAAGCATTGGACGTCTGTTTCGTCCTATTCTGGGACTCTTGTGCAGTGCTCATCTACGATCCTATTTTGTGAGGTTCGAAACCAGAACCTATCGGTCTCACGCGCGAACGTTTAACCTTTAGATCACTGAACCTGTCGGCATTTAACGGTGTTAATATCTAACTTCAACTAATCCACAAAATTGACCGACACATCCATCAATGTCTTCAGTGAGCTACTATATCATTTGTAAGCTTCAGTGTATTGCTTATCGCCTACGCACATATTCTTTCTGTCATCTTTAGCGTTAGTTGCTTAAATGATTCGATGAATCATTCATTTTCCTATGTATTTAAATATATGTACATTTTAATCCTGATTATTGAATGATTCACTCGGTCGCTCTTCGGCACTCGCATATTATTCCTGCTTCGTGTACCTATCATTTTAGTGATCTGTGTATGGTTCAATAATAAACTCGATCAATACTTCATCTTCGTCTTCTGATTTATACACCGTTGGAGATATTATTAGAACGAACAGTATACGAAGTTAAAGAATTATATAGAATACTAATCACCACAAGTAATAAACCATAATGATAAACATCACACATGATGTGTACATGAGAAAGCTTAATTAAATCACGTAGAAAAATCTTTATTTTTCTTTTCTTAAAAAGAAAAAAATTTCTTATCTCTTATCTGACACTATCCTTTCCCCCCCTCTCAACAAACAAAAGAAGAAGAAACAATCCAGAACTTGCATGATGTCTTAATATTAACCATTTCAAATAACATTCACTTTGAAAAACTATAAAACTAACTTCATTAGAGAAACCACAAAACACCTTAGTTCGTATCTTTCTTTCTTCATATTTTTTTTTTGTCGTTTCAATTAGAAAAATATGAATATGGAATATCTTCACCCCCTCCACCGCACCGCACCGCAACGCCCCAACCTACCCCACCCCACAAAAAATGTTTCAACTATTTAACTGAAGACTCCAATAAAACAACTGTTCGTTCAATAAAATTTAAATGATGTACCATATCGGATATTTTTGATAGTTTTATTACACCATGGAAAAAAAAATTAATCTACAATAATCACGAAAATTATGATTAGTTTTTTTAATAAAATTTTTTATGATAATTTTTCTTAGTCAATAAAGTAAATTATGTAGATGAAATCTTGTATTTTGTTATGTTGATTTTCGTAGGATCTGTTGTGAGATACTTAAACACTGATGACAATGGTGGATATATCACTCAATTGGTTGAAATTAGACATTTACACCGTTGAATGCTGGCTCAGTGATCTAGAGGTTAAGCGTTTGCGCGTGAGATCGATAGGTCCTGAGTTCAAACCTCGCGAGGTGGGATCATGGATTCTCACTGCTGAAGAGTCGCACAACAGGAAAAAATAGCCATCCAGTGCTCCCTGGTTTTCTTCCAATGCCCTGGTACGGCCGATGGTGAGGAGAGTCAGCTCTCCCTCACGAAATGCGCTTACGTGGCCACGTGTATACAACCGCCGTCAGGAAAATCCTACTCACTGCCTTATCATGGCATTACTGTTGTTTACGGAGCTGCGAGGATGAAAATCAAATATTCGGCTCTCTAACCGGGTTGGTGGATATGGAAAATCCACCTAGGGGAGTTGGAAAACCCTCATCCTAAACCTACGGTACACATCTGCTCCAGGACTCTGAGGAAACAAAAGGTATGTAAACCTATTGTTGGTCACCGACCCCTGACGTTGCTTCACTGACTTGTGGATTAAACCTCTAGATCAAAGCTCGGGGTATGGTCTCCTAAGAAAACCACCTGCTTCGGTCTGAACGTGAAGACAGTATCTCAGTCCACATACAAATCGAATTATTTATATGGCGCATATTTATTTGGTACCTCCTTGTACCATTGCTTATGTATTTAAATAGTAATAATCGTAATAATAATATATTACAGATTCTGTAAGCATCTAATGGGAGCCTAACGAAATAATCAATGAGTTAATGTTATTCTCCCACTAATCTTCATTTTAGCTATTCGTAAATCATGAAAAAACACACACATGAAGTACAAAATTTTACGACAGAGAATTGTTAGGTTTCACACAACAAACAAACAATTAAGTAGTTGTATTGATTGGTCAATTAAAGCTATACCACTATGAAAAACCTGGAAGCACTAGACGGTCATTTCGTCCTTGTATGGGATTCGAACCTAGGACCGTTTGCTCTCTCAAAATCGTGGATGCTCACTGCTGAGATGTCCCATAGTAGGACGAAACCTCAGTCTAGTGCTTCCAGGTTTAACATAGTAGTCTCATGAATTCAATTATGAAATTACTATAATATCCACAAAACCCCTTTCTTATTATAAACATACAATTGTTTAGTTATACGTAGGTATAAGTAGATCAACTTATACAATACAAAAATATGCGTAACAGTGTTTCTAATGACAATTCAAGTAATGTCAAGTAAATTATTAAAGCTTAGCAGTACGCTTAAAATTAAGTTACATTTATAATCAGTAGTATTAGAAATAACTGAACGTATTTCCTATGATAATATAAGTTAAAGTGTCTAATTATTATTAAGTCCAAACAAGGTGTATCTTTATTCTAGGCATAGTTTTTATGATGTATTTACTTAGTTTTAGAATGGATTTCGTTACAAACTAACATCAATTTAACGACTGTTTCATTCATTTCTGAATCTCAACAATAAACACGATTGATTCTCTGATCTTGATGCTTAACTGCGAACAAGAAAGAGCAAGTCCTTGATTACAATGATTAGTTATTACATTATGTATTATAAATTGGTCATTTCGTGACAGCTTCACATTTTTACGCAACGTCTGTCCAACGATCGGAATTGATTGGAGCTTACATGTAACCAACTTTTTGACTGATATTATGGTTTTCATTTTGATTCTTAATAAGATTGTCAAAGTGCCTCGTTAAAAAGTATCAGATCAGATTAAAAACACTCATCACTTCCCA